TGTGGCTTCGGCACACGCGTCTTGGTGTGTCTTTCCGCAAGCCTAGGTTCATTTGGCATGCAAGAAACGTGCCAAGGACAAGTCAGCTGCAGCCACGCCCCCAAACGCAAGTGAACTCTATATGTATGCTGTTTGTCCAGGCGAAATTGAAATTGTCTGTGCCAGAGACAATTGGCATCATGGCAGCAGTCGAAAGGGACCGACGCGTCGTATGCGCAACATACGCTAGATGCTTGACTAAAAGCTGACTGAAACTGAGGAAAAGAACTAAAATTATTCATCACTTTGGCTGGGCGCTAATATTTATTTAAAATGTAGCTTTGATTAAAATGCAAACGCCGAAGCCAAGCCAACCAAGGCACTTCCTTGGAGAACAATCTAATGCCAGCCTTATGAATTAAACAGCAACGCACGACAACAACAGCAATAACAACAAGTTGAGCTACGAGAACAACTAAAAGAAGCCGAGTGACGCGTTTTGTAATTAAAACTTGCCAAGCGCACTTGCAAAAGTTTATTATGCGACCCACGCAACCCGCCCACAATCCAAAACCTGGCCAGATTCTAACCATATTCTGGTCGAGGCATGCGGCTGTCAAATTCATAATCTGTGGCATAGCTGGCGCTCGGCTGGCTTTGACCCAAAAGAATGGCCGCTGCTGTTGACAGTTTGACGCCCGCACTAAGCACAGGCTCCGGTGCAGCCAGTTGGTCTAAAAGAATGCGAAAAATGCTTTTGTTAGCCAGCTCTGATATACATATACCTGACGTGGCTGGCCGACTCTGTCAAAGCTGGCGTGGTTATTAGCGCATGATTGAAAACCGCAGGCTTGAGAGCTCTACAAACTGCACGGCCTGAAAATTAGGCGGGTGCTCAGAAAAGCCAAAAAAAAAAAACAAGTAAGAATGCTCCAGTCGAAAGTAATCGACTAGAAGATACCTTACATACAACAACGAGCTCCCGTTACAAACATTCTGCATGCCTTTAATACATAAACACATAGCACTGGTTCTTCTTCCACCATTATTCATTGTGTAAATCGTTCTTCATTACCTTTGGTCTGTAGAGTTCGATCTTTATGAAATTTCTAGGCCTTGAATATGCCATAGAAAAGGTTGTGTATATCAAAGTGTAAATATCGATACTTAACAGTCTCTCATTTATCTGTGTGCATATAGTTATGTCAAGCTTCAAGACTCATAAAGAAGAAAAATAATAGTTCAGAAAAAACGAACGTTGCACAGAACCAATATACTCTTCTGCAATTTGTGAACAGAGTGAAAAAAAAAAACAAACAAATCTCGCTCTGAGCCCTCATGCAGCTGGCTCAAAATCCAGCGCTTATCCGCCTCCGCCCATCAATTTGCGTTTGACAAGCGGCCGCATTGAGCTTTGACGCAGTTCCCCATTTTTTTTTTTTTTGCAGTACCAGGTGCTGCTCACCTGGCCAAACCCTTTTGTTATCGAAATTGCTTGCCTTTTGTTTGCTTGATTAAATTATTTTTCATTATTTGGCAAATAAAAGCAGCAGCAGCAGCAGCAGCAGCAGCGGGAAGACACACTCGAAGCAGCGCTACAGCGGCTGACTTACAAATTTAATAAGTTTATTATTAGCAAACAGCAAAAGGCAAAAGGCGACATAAAGCGCGCCGTTATGAATATGAAAAAAAAAAAAAAACGAAAAAAGGAAAATCTTATCTAAAGGATGGCTTAAATTGCGCAAAGGATTTGTCATTTTGAGTTGTGTCAACAGGCGCGGCACAGCTAAATTCATTTTCATGCCCAGCAAAAATGTATATAAGGGGTTGTTGAGTACATGCAGATGTCTCCTTTGTCTGGTAAAACATATAATTCTGTACATACCATATAATTTCCTTCCTTGCTATTTACCCAATGTGCTCAAAAAACAGGATTTCGATATCGATTTTTACTCATACTGCGCATGGATTAGGAGGAGCGACAGCTAAATTCAAGTCTCTAGCTCTTATAGACTCTGAGATCCTTGCGTTCATATATACGGATGGACGGACAGACGGACAGACAGACGGACACAGCCACATCGACTCGGCTGTTGATGCTGATCAAGAATATATGCACTTTATGTGGTCGGAGTTGCTTTCTTCTGCCTGTTACATATTTTTGCACAAACACTTTATACCCTTTTAGCCCATTTTCAATGGGTTCAATGTATGAAAATATATGCACACATTATTTTACACAATATATAATAAATGCAAACATAAATTATACATATATACATGCACACACACATGCATATATGCTTGCAAACATATATATTTTATTATATACATACATACATAATAAACATAAACAATTACACGCTTATGTTAAGCTTAAGGCCGGAAACACCTATTCATTATGTTCTTATGTAAGGCTTTAAGTAATTAGCCCATCGGACCAAACTTAAACTTAAAACCCAACAAAAATCTTTGAATCGAATTTTCCCCCAAGGAAGCTTCGAATGTGCGAAAAATGTGCAACACGTCTCAAACGAATTAATATAAAGATCCTTGAGGATGAATTTGAACTAAATCTGTGACCTCCATTTCCACCAAGCAGGAATGTATTTTCCGTAAAGTAACAAACGTTCATATAACCGTTTTTCAAGAATTTTTCATTTCGGGTGGAATTTCCCAGAAACCCGTCTAATTACAGTAAAAGTTTCAGACCTAGAAAGTCTTACGGTTTGGGCTGTCTTTCAGCAATCCAGTCTTATTGTTGGACTCACCCAAAGGAGCTGCACACTCGGCACCTTTTGATTTTGACATTAGCTGCATCTGCCTGCTCTGGACTGTGCTCTGTGCATGCCCACTCGTCGCTTAACATATTATATTATATTATTTAATTGGCACACTCTTAACTTAAGACTCACTCGAAAGGATTTCGTGGTGCAGCTCATGTTTGCATATAACTTAAAAAGCTGCTTTTGGGATTTTAAAGCAAATACCATGCAGGGCATTCATCAGCTTTTGTGGAGATCCGCTTGCGGTTAATTTGCGGGCAAAGCAAGCAAAACCACAAGGCCAACAAACGGTTTTGTGTCAAGGCGTTCCATGTACCTCCACAAAGGCAATTTGCTGCACATTAGTCTGTTGAATGGCAGGGATAACTCATATTACCTTAAAGTATAAGTAGGCGATAACTGTTAACGCCTTTTCACTTATTTACTAGCGGGCATAACCCGGCCTTGCCCGTGGCTCGAATAAAATAAATTTTATCAAAAAGCTTTCAAAATAGTTTTTAAACTTATCGGACGGTAAGCACATAACTTTCATACAATCGTTTTCCGCTAACAAAATATGAAAAAATAAACATTCGAAAATACATTCAATTTAACTGCAACACCTGAATGAAAGTGAATGTCAAGCCAAGATTCAAATACTATTTAGCATAAACATGCTTTAGCTCTGTCATAGCTGTGAAAGTTGAAAGCCTAAACAGAATATTTACCATAATAAATTGTAAATGTCCAATTCTTAAGTCAAAGGTGAGTTTTTCAATTCTTTTAGGCAACGGCTTTGACCCATTTCAATGTTGGGGCCAGCAATTTTGTGCAGCTGACAATCAAGGCGACTGAGCTCCACTTTTGATAGCACTCAATTACCATAGAAATTGGGTTTTGCAGCTTGATTGAGGCGCAACTGATTCAAGAAACACAAGTTTTTTAAGGATTGAAAGCCCGATTGTGTCGCCTCTCGGAATTTGGTCGGACACCAGTACGACATGCTGCATAGGATTACATAAACATGCCACAAAGGCCGAAATCAAAGGCCTAACTTTTAGAGTAAAGGCAAAATAAATGTTTTTAATTGATTTAAGTAATTGAATTTCCAGGCAACCAACAGGCCATAATAAGTCAAAGTAACACCAAAACAACAGTCATAACAAATTGACTTAGATACAAGTATGAGTGAACCAGTCGGGTATGCTCGACTGGAAGATAGCCAAAACCTAAACACTTCTCTGTGTTACTTCTTCTAAAATGAAGACAAAATATTATAAATACAACAAGATAGAGTTTAGAGAGATGGATCTATACTCGGAGAGATACAGCTCTTCACCAATAGTATATACAGTTTATGGTCTCGGAAATGCTTGCCGCTCTCTGCGACATACATTGGCACAAAAGCATTAAGCCCTTCTTGCGCCTTTTTAATGGATTCATGGTAAAAAAAAAAATATGTGTGCATGTTTGTGCATGAGTAATTTAATTTAGTTCCCGAGAAATTTGCCAAGACAAACTTATCGATTTGTTTGAAAATTATATTTGAAAACTTTGACTAACTCAATTTGATGTTGCAATTTGTAGTCCTGGGTAGTCCGGGTATCCGTGCACATTGGCAGCATCAAATGCAACAGTCTGCAGCGCAAAGTCAAGTCGCCGACAAAGTTCTGTCAGTTTCCTGAGAACACTTAGTTTTAAATAATAAATAGCATTAAATGGGAAAAGAAAAAAAACACACACAGAGAAAAATCAGTGCAGAGTAGAGCGGAGGCCACTCCAAAATCAAGTGGCATAGACGGCAAAAATCGTGCCACATCATAATGAGCACCAAGGACACCAGCAGCAGCAGCAGGATGCAAATGTCGCCGGCAAAATTGCATTCCCTGGCTGCATTTGGCTATGAGTTTGACTTCCTGCCCGTTTCCAGTTAACGGCCACAAAATTAGTTTAAACTTGGCGGAAGCAAACGCAAAGGCCAAGACAGCGGCAGCAGTAGCAAATGCCTAGGCAACTCCTTTAAATGATTTGTTGTTGTTATTGTTGTTGCCTCTGTTACAGATGCTGCGCACCTCCACCTGGCCAGAGACAAGGCCAGCCACACAGACGTCAGCCAGTACGATGGCCAACCACGAGTAGATGGACAGCGACAGCACCGAGGAGCAGAACCTGGAAATTAACATAAAGAAGTAGAACAACAACAACAACAACAACAGCAAATTGGAATAGAAGAAGAAGTTGAAAAAAGCACTCAAAATGCGTACTCTAGCCAAAACATCCGGCTTTAATGGCAGCGATGACTATCTAAATGGTCTGGATGCTGCGAATAGAACCGAATTTATATACACTATTAAGTCTAACTGGATTACGGAATGGTAAGAGCAATATAAAAATTAAAGAAATAAACCATTGTATCATTAATATTAGTAATTATTATTATTAATACTATTGTCATTACTAATTTTATTCTCTTCATTATTATAATTATTATTATGGTTATTCTTGCTATTATCATTATTATTTCAATTCTTTTCATCAATGTTTTTATTATTACTATTATCATTTATATTGTTATTCCTTTCATTATTATTATTATTACTGAATTTATTTTTATAATTATTATTATTATTATAGTTCTTTTTATTGTTATTATTTTCTTTATTATTATTGTTATTATTATAATTTATTTGATTATTATTATTATTAATATCATTATTTTTTTTTTGTTTTTATTTTTACTTTAATTATATTGAAGTAGTATATACGAGTTCGGAATCGAATTCAACCAAGTAATACTATTAAATAATTTTGTGTAACTTCTATTTCGTAGCTGAAATATGTTATACAAAATAGAACGAAGTTTTTGCATAGATCCACTCGATTTATAGCGCGTTTTCTTTTCAATATAATATGTATTTATGTTTATCTTATATTATCTTCGCTTGGTAGAGATCAGAAGGCATTGATCGATTACAGCGCAAAATAAAAATCAAGAAAAAAAAAAGATAACATCTGTTCTTTGTCCAAAATTTATGTTACGTTTAAATCTCTTTCTCCAGGCGCATACGGAAGGAGCGCGAGAATCTCTGCCGTGGCCTCTACAATAGGGTCATAGAGCACGCGGAGTGCAAACGCCTGTTGGAGGCGGCAAAGATCTATGGCGAGATTACGGACTTTAATGCTTGGTCACCTAATGAGCAGCTGCAATGGTATCGCAATTTCGGTTACAATTTGACCAACTTTGGCCGGAACAGCTCGACGGAGACAAGTGCCACGCCCGTGGAGGTTAGTGGGCCGGTGCCCGTGTTGCCGCCATTTGAGACCTGGCAGACAATTGCCATAGCATTGTGTTTGTTCTTGTGCATCATTCTGACGGTGGGTGGCAATATTCTCGTGCTGCTCGCCTTCATTGTGGATCGGAATATACGACAGCCCAGCAACTACTTTATAGCCTCACTAGCCGCAACGGATATGTTGATAGGTAGGCAAAAACTTGGACTCATCTCTACGCAAACATTTTATTTGACTGACGCTTAACTGAATGATTGACAGTATGATTCGCAGAATGATTAACTGAATGATTGAAGTTCTGCCTGATTTACCTATTGAATGATTTACTGACCGAATAACTAACTGATTGACTTTCTAACTGATTATCTGACTGATAAACTAACTGAATGATTGCCTGACTAATTGAGTGACAGACTGCCTAGTTGACTGTCTGAATGATAAAGTTACTGACTGACTGAACGACTGACTAATTGACAGATGGACCGACTGAATGACTGATTGATTGACAGACTAGCCAATTACCTGATAGATTAACTGAACGACTGATTAACTGCTGGACGGACTGACTAATTGACTAATTAACTGAATGATGGACTGACCGACTGACAGAATGACTGGGTGTTTGACCGACTGAGTGCCGGAATTATTAACTGTATGATTGATTGTTGGATAACCTGATTGACTGACATATTGATTGAATGATCGACTGACTAATAGACATATTAGTCGGTCCATCTGACTGACTGATTGACTGACTAGTCAGTTGATTGACTGAACGACTGACTGATTGAACTATTGATTGGCTTACTGCCTTATTGATGATTGACCGACTGAGTAACTAATTAACTGGTTGGTTGACTGACTGACAAGCAGATTAGCTAACTGATTGATTGATTGAACAGCTGGTTAGTTGAAGAATAGACCAACGGAGTGACTGACTGAATGTGTGATTAACAAACTGATTTACCGACTAATTAGTGTTCCCAGCCCTAACCTTATTTTTATGGGCAATACCTAAAATGTATGATCGCTTGGAATCAAACTTATTAACTCCAAAGCTTTACATTTCTATTTATTAAACAAGTTTTTTAAATGTTAAATAAAACCAAAATTGGGTACAAATTTAGTAAATATAACTTTGGATTTGATTACCGTATGATACACTAATATATACATATATTTGTGATAATCTCTTCAAGAAGGTCATATATATATGGGGAGACTTGACTAGACTAAACTCTAATTATATATTAATTGATACACACTTTTCTCTTTAGGAACTGTTTCCATGCCCTTCTATACCGTATATGTGCTAAAGGGCTATTGGGATCTGGGACCCTTACTCTGCGACTTGTGGCTATCTGTGGACTATACCGTTTGCCTGGTCTCCCAATACACCGTCTTGTTGATAACCATTGATCGCTATTGCTCGGTGAAAATCGCGGCAAAGTATCGCAGCTGGCGCACTCGGACACGGGTCATTTATATGGTCTCCATCACCTGGATCATACCGACGCTGCTGTTCTTCATCTCGATCTTTGGCTGGGAGCATTTTACGGGCAAACGCGACCTGTTGCCGGGCCAGTGCGCTGTGCAGTTTCTCAAGGACCCGGTCTTCAATACGGCATTGATCATTGGCTACTACTGGACCACGTTGATTGTGCTGTTCGTGCTGTATGCGGGCATCTATAAGACCGCCTACGACATGCAGAAGCGGAGCGAGGCCAAACAGCGCAAGATGCAGTCGATGGTGGCGCTGAGCGCTGGCGCCATGTCCGGCATGGCTGGTCATGCTGCGGGCATTGGTGTCATTGAGGAGAAGATACTAAAAACTAAGGTGCAGCTATCGGAGGTAGATAGCAGCGGCTGCAACACGGCTGTAAAGCGTCTGAGCGGCTCGGGCCAAGCCAATCCGCTGGCGCAGGCCACCGAAGCAGTTGCCATTGTGCAGATGACACCCGAAGAGCGACGCGCCTCCGAGGCCAAAATTGAGGAATCCAAGCGTGCAGCGGCCGAGGCAGAGAAGAGCGAACGCTCCAGTAGTCCAGCCTTTGATTCCGATGAGGAGTCCTCTGTCAACCAAACACAGCAGCTGCTCAATCAACAGAAGCTGACCAATCTGCGCAAGCGTTCGTCCATTGGCCTGGTGTTTGGTGCACAGGCGGCGCTGTTGGCGACACGCAGCAAAGGTAACTTGCAACAAAGCACCAGCAACTCCAAGTCAATTGAGGCCATGCACTCCATGGGCGCACGATCGCCACACCATCACCCAATTAACCAATCGAGCTTGCAGCGCGCCCAGAGCAAGGAGGAGGTGGGCATGGGTCTTTATCAGGCGCATACACCAATTGAGCGACCCAAGCGCACCTCCTGCTCCACTTTGTCCCAGATAGCCGAGCATGACCGTCTCATTGATATCCATCAACCCTCGATACCAGCCAAGCATGGCCCGCTCTCACCCGTGGATCTGGTGCCCATTGAGGTGCCGCGCGAGCAGGTGCAACAGTGTCTGGTGCAGGCCATATTGCCGCCGCCCGAAGCCTTTCAGTGCCCCACACCCCTGTCCGATTACTCGGATCGACCCTTTGGCAACAGCTCCGGCAATAGCGAACTGGCCATGAGCTACGATCTGATGACGAACAACTCGGAGATGCGCTACATGGATGAGAGCTCCGCCATGATGACCACCACCAATGATAATAGCATTAGCTGCTCTCAAAGCAGCGCACCACGCACCGCTCCACGTTCCGTGCCCGTTTCCACAGCACAGCGAAGTGCCATTCCACCACCGCCACCCGCACGCAAACAGCTCCAAAGATCCAGCTCCCCCATTGTTCCAGCGACTAAGCCCAGCCAGAGCCGGAGCGAGTGTCATGAGGAGAGCCAATCCCAGTCCCAGGAACAGGTAGCCATTGAAAAACGTCTTCTCGTATCATACACAGGCATCGAGGACTTTGCCAAGGGTCGGCGAGAGAGCTGCATTGAGGCCATTTGCCTGCTGGATGTGCCCGGGCATGGCAATGATCGTTTGCAGGCGGATTGTCCGCCGCGTCGCGCCTCCAGCCCCATGGAGACGAGCAGCAAGGATGCGGTGCTCTACTCTCCCATGCCACCGCCGCCGCTTAAACCGATGCCGGTCACAGGCAATGCTGCAGCAGGCGCAGCTGCTGGAACCGCTGCTACAGTGGCACCACCAGCACCGGCTGCTATTCAGCTGGAGCGCATTGATGAGCGCGAAGCGTCGGACTCAAACACCAACAAGATGCCCTCCACATCGGGCACCACCAGCAGCTCGGCTGGTCCGGCCGGCGGCATGAGAAAGGATGCCAAGGATCTCGATGAAGATGGCGGTGTCTCGCGTCGTGGCTCCAGCAAACGGCATTTCATGCACTCCATTGGCAAGCATTTCAAGAGCAAGAAGGCCCTGCCCCTGGTCATGGGCATGGGTGGCAGCCGGCAAAAGTCCAAGTCGGAGAATCGTGCACGCAAAGCGTTTCGCACTATCTCCTTCATTTTGGGCTGCTTTGTGGCCTGCTGGACGCCGTATCATGTGTTGGCCCTGGTCGAGGGCTTCTGCCGGAATCCGCCGTGCACCAATGAGCATCTATATATGTTCTCCTATTTCCTGTGCTATGCCAACAGTCCAATGAATCCATTCTGCTACGCATTGGCCAATCAGCAGTTCAAGAAGACATTTATGCGAATTCTCAAGGGTGATCTGCACATGACCTAAGCGAGCCTCCGAGCTAATGATGATGACGATGATGATGATGACGACGAGTTTTGGGATGAGATGAGATTGATCGCCGGATCCGGCTTTGGCATTGCATTTGTCAAGCGGTACACAGCATTTCCGAGAGCCCCGCGGAATGTTGAGACCCAATTTTATTCGAACTGTAGATTTTGGTTAAATGCTCCGCCAAATTGTGGATCCCGCTCCTCCCCCATCTGTGGAACACCAATTGAATTCAAAATTTGAACGGTGTTTTTGTAATTTAAGGTCAGCCAAAGGTGTGTGTTAGTTAGTGAAAGGAACTATTTGTTTAGCGACTAGTAGAAGCTATTAGAACGGAGTTGTAGTAAAAGTTGAGGCAAATGTTTTAGACAATAAATAAATTAATGTTTATATATATTATTAAGCTATGAGCCCAAAAAGTGGTAAATAGTATAATTAGTAAATAGTCTATGCAGCTACATAAATGTATACATAATAATGATAACAATAATAATGATAATGACTATATTCTCCCGATACATACCATATGCATTACATATCCCAAACTGAAGAATTTTTTCATTTATCATAGCAGATATATTGTATAACACGTATAATATATATTCCCAACTGTGAGATTGCAAATTATATGCAAATATTTACACAAATTGCATTCACAAAAAAATAAATAAATGAAAATAAATAAATAAATATTCTATATACAGAGGCATACGACCCATCTGACCCAACTGAACAATAAGTGTTAACCAGCAACAAAATAAGAAAATATATAAACAAAAACAAAAGATTGATGTAAAAAACAAATATCTAACAAATATACAAAGCCACAAAATAACGCTCTTATATGTAAATCTATATATGTTTAAAATAACAGTGTATAAATGTCAATTTCTATTTGAATATCGGGAACCGAGAACTACACAACTGCCCAACGGGGTAGTATCGTGCTCTATATAAATATATACACACACATACACACATATATATCTAAATATATTTGTATTATAAGTGGAAAAGAGTTATATATAGATATATATATTATATTTCGCGTCTATGCCGAGCTGCCTGAATTAGTTGACTTTGTTACACTTAACACATACGTATTAATTAATATATTATAAATTATATTATAATAAACTGTTATTTGTTTAAATATGTCTCGAAAAGTTTTCATATTGATTATTGTTACTTTAGTCCATGCCAAGCTGCCTAATTGGTTTGATTATTGTTTAAACTCTTCATTTACCTTCTCACATAATTAGTTACCTTAAGCATTTCGTTTGTCTTAGTCCCTAAGTGAAGCATGTTACAATAACTACAGCATTAAATAAATAAAGTATTTATGTCAGCAAAAAAACAATATAAAACTACATTTTCTTACAAATTTTGTATAAATGTTTACTCAAAAGTGAGGCGCTCTTCATATATCTTCTTGTACGTAAGTAAATAGTTCATCATGAAAAGTAAGTCCTAACCCCTTACACAATTTGAGGAAAAGATTTTAAATTATTTTCATATTTTATCATAAAAACTCTTTAATTTTTAAACCTTTTTTTATATTTATTTAAGACTCTACTAAAAGAAAAATATGAAAAGATTTTAAATTATTTTAAACGTTTTATCATAAAATGTGAGTTCCAAATTGTTAACCAAAGATTTAAAATTATTTACAAGTATGAAAAAAATATGATTTTCAGTCTAAAACAATTAATTACCGCTATATTAATAAAACCACACTCGAAAAATGGGTGGAAAAATGTTAACATATTTTTATCCGAGCAAATTTAATTTCTTTTTTATCGAAACCTGGTTCACAACTCAAATCCATTCTGCTGAGTACAAATGGGGCGTACGGAGTAGCAGATTTTAGCCAGAAAGTTTTTTAAGTCTTTCACGTGCGGAAAATAGGTTGAAAATGAATATTTAAAATCTCATAATAAAATCTTGACTAAGGCAAGGCCACTAATTACAGCTTTGTATGCCTGCAAAGCCTATAGCTGGGATTTTTCAAATAGCGCCTTCCTACGCGATTCTCATGAATCCATGTAAGACTTAAAGGTCCGTTGCACCTGAATTAGATGTATTATATAAACAAATTGATGTATGTATTTATATATTTGCATTGTGAATAAATGTATTTATATAAATATATATGTATTTAGGTACGCGTATATGCATTCCCCTTCATAGTTAAGACAGAAAATAATGAAATTGCGTATGCGTTATTTAATGCCTAACTAAATGTTGGTTTATTAACATAATTCCAAATTAAGATACATATAGATGAAATGGGCAAATAAAATGATTCTAGATTTTATCGCATTAAAAAGCAAAACGAAATTTGTTATCCAAATTTTGCTTTCCAGCCCTGGCTGTCATCAAAATTGTGGCAATTTGCAACACTTTTAAAACCTGACATCAAAATTCAATTGAAACTATCCGAGCTAATTAATTCGGAACTCGGGTGTCGGGGCAGCGCGTAGTCCGCTTTCAAACGCCAAAGTGTGCAGTAAACAACAAGTGGTGGCCAGTTGGATACCCATCGAGCAGCTCCAGAGCATAGCGAGCATTAGCAACAACGCGATATCCACTTCCAATTGTCGGAAGCTCAAAGTACGAAAAACAACGCATTTGAATTAGGCCCACCTGTTGACCCCGTCTGCGGTCGTTGAGCGTCACCGGAACTCACAATGGATTTATTCATACGTATCATGGGCTTGATTCTGACCTATCTGGGACTGTTAATAAATAAGCTACTCGAGTTTCTGATACTACGCAAGAAGCCCGATTATCCGCCCATCCGGAATCCCATACTCACAAAGGCGGTTGTGCAACTTGTGACGGATTTGCGACGTGGCCAGGTAATCGAAATCGTGAAATTGTGAAAAACCCAATTATGCAATCATTTCCGCATATATATAGCTCACCTCCGAGCAGCTGGTCCGGGCGTATATAGGGCGTGTGCGTGAGGTGAATCCCTCGCTGAATGCGGTCATTGAGGAGCGCTTCGACGAGGCGCTCCGTGAGGCCACGCATGCGGATACGCTCATCGCCAAGGCACCCTCGGAGTTTGATCGCGTGGCGCTTTATACACGATATCCCCTGCTGGGCATACCCTTCACCGTGAAGGAGTCCTGCGGGCTAAAAGGTAAGCTACGGGCTATTCAACTCATTTTTACCCCAAACCCATTGAAAATTAGCTAAGGGATATGCAAATGTATGCAATAGGCCGTTCCAGTCCATCCTTTGGCTTCGATCTCTGGAAAAAAAAGCTAGTGACATACGATTTGTAATATATACATATGTATTCTCATATACGAAATTCAGGATATGTTTAAAATTTCTTTTCGATATACTCTCCCATCTTCTGATTAGTCAAACATATGTTAGCTCAAAGAATACAAGAGCCAAAAAACTATACGTTTTATATGGGCTCTTGTTTAGCATAGGAATATTTCACTTTTTGGATACCTCCCCCAAGGAAATCATTTGTGAAGAAATAACCTTGCGCTTGGGTATATAGGGAAAATTGGGTAGCATATTGCGGCTCCAAAAGTTTGACAATAATCGGACTATAAACACCGAAGTTATTCAAGAACCCATTTCCTATAGAGTAGGACTAAAGTGCAAAAGAGCAGCATGCGTTCATGCGTGCGCGCGTTCGCTTATGCGTGCGTGCGTTAATGCGAGCGCGCGTTCATGCGAGCGCGCGTCATTGTGTGCATGCGTGAGTGCGTGTAATTATGTGTGCTTTTCTACAAGTATTGCAAGGTATCTGCTAGTCGAACACTCCTGACTAGACCACTGTAACTTGTTTAACAACAATTTGAACACCTTGATTTGTGGTATATTCCCTTTCAGGACTCTCCTATGCGGTGGGCAGCGTTGTGCGCAAGGGCATAAAAGCGCCCAAGGATGGAGATGTCGTGGAGCTGGTGCGCGCTGCTGGCGGCATACCGTTGCTGGTATCCGCCAATCCCGAGTTCTGCATGAGCTTCGAGACGAACACGGTGGCCAACGGACGCTGTGTGAACCCCTATGATCTGGCACGCACCTCAGCCGGCTCCTCTGGCGGCGAAGGAGCTTTGAATGGCGTCGGTGCCACCACTTTTGGTGTGGCCTCCGACATTAGCGGTTCCATACGGCTGCCGGCAATGTTTTGCGGCGTCTATGGCCATAAACCCACGGGTGGACTCACCTCTGTCAAGGGTCACTATCCCTACTCGCTGGTGGACAAGAATTTCCCAAGTTACCTACAAATAGGACCAATTACGCGATTCGCACGTGATTTGCCGCTGCTCCTGGAGATAATGGCGGGCGACAATAAGCACAAGCTGAAAATGCAGGAGCCGGTGCCGCTCAAGGAGATTAAAGTAAGATGCAGAGTCTAGAAATGTATACTCTGTTCACAAAAGGAAACAGGGCATATTAGCTATGTCCGTTTTGCTGTCAGTCAGTCAAGTTTAGGGCGAGTACTTCACGAGATTAAAGTAGGGTTCAAGCATACTCTGTTCACAAAAGGAAGCGGGGCATATTAGTTAATTGTAGTGTCCGTCTTGTTGTCATTCCTTCTGTCCGTCCGGCGGATATAGCGCGGCAGATCGTGCCAAGAGCAGGTACATCACGGGATCAAAGTAGGATATACTCTGTTCACAAAAGCAAATATGTATACCCTGTTCATAAAAGTATACAGGGCATATTAGTTATGTGCAATGTCCGTCTTGCTGTAATTCCAATCAGCCAAATAATCTTAGTATTCCTTTAAAGGAAAACTGATTCCAGCTCCTTAAAAAAAAAAAAGATATAAACTCCTGTGACACTGTGAACAGAGTATCGCTTAGTTGGCTACACCCGACTACAACGTTCTTCTGCTGAACTTGCCTTTGCAGATCTACTACGCCTACGGCTATTCGGGGCTTAACGGAATAACGCATCCGTATGTGGACACGGACATCAAATTGACAATTGTGCGTGCCATCAAATGCTTTGCCAAGGCTGGCATTCGGCCGCAACTGGTGGGTTCTAATACATGAGTAAAACCCAACATTGCGTAAGACATAATCCTTGATCAACTTATATAGCTGGATCTCAGTTTTCTGCGCAACTCCTTTGAGGTGGCGATCACGGCACTGGTCGACCTGAAGGGTCTGCCGAGCATTATAACGCAGCAATCGGATCGGCCGCCGCATATGAAGATGCTGCTCATGGAAATGCTGAACAGCACCTTTGGCCACTCGTTGTTCACCAAGGAGGCGCTTTTTCTGGAGCTCATGCAGCGCCTGAATGGCATGATGTCCGCCGAGAAGATGGAACAGTATCGCCAGGAGGTCGGCCCGCTGAAGGCGCATCTAACGGT